TTGTCTTCTCTCTCTCTCTCTCTCTCTCTCTCTCTGTGCCTGCAGGTTGATTCACGAGAAAGAGAAAAAAAAAAAAAAAATCTGTCTCCTTATCCAATGATTACGGCAGCCAACCTTCGACCCGACAAGCCGACTCGGCAACCCCGGAAGCGGAGACCTGCACGCTATTCTCGTTGATGTCCCTGACACGTGTCAATCACCTCGACCCTTACTTCCCCATTTGACGTGACCACCCTCGAGTCAAATCCCCCCGCCCTTCTCCCGACCCCAACCTCGTGTTCCAATCCCCTCTGTCCTCGCATTTACCTTCCCCCTTCCCTCTTCGTCTTTCGTTCTCTAAAGCCTCCCTTTCTTTTATTTGCCACACCTTATCCTCTTCTACTTCTTTTTCTCCCCTTCTGTTTTGGTTGGCTGATGGGGAGTCTGGAGAGGAGCCCATCCGAGCTGGACCTCACCATTGGTGTCCCTGGTTCGAGCTCTTCTTCTTATTCACCAGTTTGGTCTGGTAGGCTCGTCTTCTGTTCATCTCTCTCCTCCCTAGCTATGGATGCTCCATTTTTCACTGTCTTTTATCTTCTCTCTTGGATGTCTTGGGTCCATATATTGCAGGAGGTGGTGGCAACATGAGGGACCTGGACATAAACCAGCCAGCTTATGGCGGAGAGGAGGAGTACCCCATGGGAAGCATAGAAGAAGAGGAAGAGGAGGGCGGGACTCCCAGGCCCAAGAAACTCCGGCTCTCCAAGGAGCAGTCGAGGCTACTGGAAGAGAGCTTTAGGCAGCATCACACCTTGAACCCTGTAAGTCCAACTCTCTGCTTGGTGTAGTAATTGAAAAGCTGTTCGTTGTTCTCCAGTAGCTTAAAGCTTTGTAATAAATGCGCATTTTTGTTGGCATTTGTTGGGGGTGAAATAATGACGATGAAAATGAACGAAACGGCAGAAGCAGAAGGAAGCGTTGGCGATGAAGCTGAAACTGAGGCCCCGCCAGGTGGAGGTGTGGTTTCAGAACCGCAGGGCCAGGTGAGCGATGATTAATGCTCCTTGTCTTCTTTCCTTTCGTCTCCTTCACTGACCACAAGAGTCCTCGTCGTTGCTGCTTTGACTTGGGAGTTAATGGTCTCATTTACGGCTCGTTTGCTTCGTCACGTTGAAGAAGGTGAGATATCGAACAGGGAGGACACGATAAATGAGAAGTAGATGAGAGATCATGAGCCCTTTAGATGCTGTGGTTGTGGCATTACTCACTTGCAGGCTTTGCCTGGTAATAACATGACATAAAAAGCTCCTGCGTTGTGGTACAGGACGAAGCTGAAGCAGACGGAGATGGAGTGCGAGTACCTGAAGCGGTGTTTCGGATCGCTGACGGAGGAGAACCGACGGCTGCAGCGGGAGGTGGAGGAGCTGCGGGCGCTGCGAGTGGCCCCACCTACCGTGCTCTCCCCCCACACCCGCCAGCCGGTGCCGGCCTCGTCCTTGACCATGTGCCCCAGGTGCGAGCGGGTGACCGCAGCGCCACACCTTGCGCCATCGTCGGCAGGGGGCCACCCGTTCCGCCGCCCCGGCGCCCTGCCGGTCGCCGGAATCGCGGATGGCTGACAAGATCGTGTGGGATAAGGTTTATACATGAGAGAAGATCGAGCAGGTGTTTTCCTTCTCAGCATGTCAACGTTGCTCGGTTTGTTGTGTCTAAGATTCATGGATCAAAGATTACCTGCAGATGTATTCTACTAGTCATTCTCTCCATGTCCATTTCATGTGCTAACAGATAATGGTAGAACAAGAAGAATTCATCCCCCACTGCTTTCCTGGAAGCCATAAGACAATAATGAGTTGCTTCTACAAGAACTCATCCTGGAATGCAACCTTTTCATCGACAAGATGCGGTGTATTGGTTGGAGCAGAAAGTCCATCTTGTGGTACACCGTGATCCCCCGTGCCTTCGGCGTCTGTGTAAAAGTATATGATTGTGGCACATACCAACTCTATTAGATTTAAATAGGTGTTGGGTTAACGCTTAGGCTTCTAGAATCATTCATCACCCAGCTAAAATCTTTATTAGAGTTAAATATATATCGGGTTTTTATTTTCTAAAAGCTTAAGCTCTTGATATTATTAGTCATACCATCCAAAATCTTAATCAAACTCTTGTTGATGGGATTATTGTATTATATTACATATGTAGAATGCAATAATAATTTGATGGATTATTGGTTTGTGTGTGTACTGTCATGGGGTGGGTGTGAATAGTCACCACCAGCTCATAATGAGCAAGCCTCTAAAAGCAAAGAAACGAAAGACAAATGACAAGTACCACCACTCCAGTCCTATCTTGCACTGATATCATTTAATTTAATGTCAAAGCTGAGCTTTTGCTTACCATTTCACACATGAGCTCAGGATGGGCATACCCATCAAACATGGACCTACACAACCTCAATATGTTGCATTTGGAAGACATCACACCTACACCTTATAGTCTTGCATGTCAACATGTTATTGGCTTTATTTCTTTGTAATAGACTAGTCGAGCTTTCAACATTTTTTCTCTGTGGAGTTGTCCTTCATATTCCCTGAATTGGACTACATAGATTGTAGATATTTCACTGGCTTTACAGATATATTTGGTTGAACTAAGGATGGAACTATTGCCATATAGTGGAAAGAGTGAGGGAAATAGCATAATTGCATTAGAAAATCTAAATGTTGAATAAATTCCTTTAACACATTATTATTTAATCATCCAAACATAGAGGACAAGGGTTGATGAAAAGGTTCTCTATTGGGTGATAACTCGTAACCTTCCCGATCAACTAAAAAAGGACTCAATATCAAGATCTGACCGAATGAGATGATTTATTCATCAGTTTGTTGAATCTGAATTACCAACAAAGATCTTCAATATATCAATTTTACCCATATAGAGAAGCAACCTTACCAAGCTCTCGTCAAACCCAAATTACATTTATATTTATATACAAATCTAATTTCTAAGAGTCGAATCATGATCTCTTACATAACTCTCCCCATCAATTTTGGACCAGAAATGCTGAGCATAAAAGTCTCAGTTCCTCGGAAAATTAAAGCAAGTCTTCCTACATCGTCTCTTGCAATTAAAGCTCCAATTTAGCAAAAACAAAAGAAAAGATAGAAGCATAGAGATAACATCAGCAACATAAGTTTCTTTTTGGTGACAGGGATCATCACTTGAATTTGAGTCTTGGGTCAGGTTTGGACTAGGTTACTACGAGTCGAGTCAGTCGCAACCGATTGGGTCAGATGATCAAATGTAGCAAGACTTATACATCATCATCATCATCATCAAACATTTAAATGCTTCCCATCGGTTAACAGCGGCGTCATGCTTGCAATGAACAAGTTCCTCGTACTGTCATTGACAAGGCCCACCTGGTCAGCAGTTTGAAGTCCTGGGGACAACATCAGCTGATGCGAAATGGAAGTTGCACAAAAACCTTAGTCCTGGCAATTGTTGAATTGTGCGCTATGATATTATTCAATTTGTACCATAAAGTGGAATACAGGATCACAAACTTCAACAGTTGGCCACAGAGATACAGACCCAGGTGTGATCTCAACATCTTATCCTACAATTGCACCTTGCATTTTCTAATGATGTGAACCGAAATTTTGTTGATCCAAGGATTGCTGTGTATATTCTGCAATTCTTCAGGTCAAAATCAAAGACCTTTTAGAATAACATCGCCACAAAGGAAAATCTGGCAAAACCTTGTGAAAAAGAGGGTGGGAATGATAATCTAAATAGCCAATGGTAATAACTTGAGCAAATGTGTCAAAATTATCAAATGCTGCTACGTTTTGCTTTATAACTACACAAAAAACTTTAGCCCCAAGAACAATGAAATTCCAATATGTTCTCAACAAAGTATCCCGGAGAATGTTCCGGCAAAGTTCACTTACACAGTCTCAGCATGCCAATCGATCTCTCCCAGCAATAAAACCAATATCATGGCAGTTATCTTGATGATATATTTTCTCTATTGTAGCTACCTTGTCTAGAACACTCCTAAAGATTAAATACAAAACATTTTTTTCATTCTCTACATGAAATGAAGATAGACCTTATTCGCCCATGTTCTATGACCATAATTAATCAATCAAGTGATTTTCAATGGTTCCAAAAGCAAACCTATCACTCACAAGTTACTAATGTAAGCATAAATATCAATGATGTTTGTAGTAATAACTGACATGAATTTGATTGAATGGGATGAAATCGAAACTTGTTTTCTGTTTTGTTCTTAGGTATCAAATCATAGTTGACTCCCATGGGTTGATCTGTAAAACACTTTCTAAGATGCTCCTCAGCACATCATATCATCAAATTGCTTGCAAATGTTCGACTAACCATAAGGTATGTACATTAAAGTTAGCACTAAACCAATTAACATAAAACATTCATGACCAATCTCTGCTAAAAAGAAGAATGGGCATGGTGCATATATTTATACTAAAGTTTCACCGTGTACCTTATTTGAAGAAGATGATGACATCATGAGAATATAAATGAGACAAACACTTATCTAGAAATATATGTACAAATTTAAAGCACTCAGTACTAGAAGTATAAACATTCATTACCTTGGATCCATTATTCAACAGAAACATTACCTAAAAAGAAGATTCCGAATTATACCTGGTTGCTAAAATGAAAAAGTGCATCTATTGTGTGAGACAACCATGTGATGCCCCAGTGCATTAAAAATTAGAAGAAATATTCAAAAGAGGATTTATTGGTCAAATAATTGAGAAAGTGGGGGACATATACCAATAGTTAGTGTGACAGAAATATGCTAAGATGAGTGCATCTGATGATAGATGGGAGTAACATCAATTCATGGGAAAGTAAAAGTGATATAATGTAGTTAGGACATGCCAAAATGATACCAGTAAATGCATCAGTAAGGCAAATCAACCAAGGTTAAATGTGCTGAGACTGGAAGAGACCCAAAGAAGACTAGGTTACAATTGTACAGAGACAATATGATGGGCTTTAGTTATTCTGTCAGTTGTAACATTATCCTCCATAGACCTCAATGGTTGAAAAGGCCAATGTTGCCAAACAAATAGTTCAAAAAAAATGTAGCACTTTGTGTCTATGTTGTTCTTTTGCTCCAATGCAGTGTCGTCAAAGGCACTAGTAGTGATTTAAATAGGCGCTCGAGCGCTCGCCTAAATGCTCGGGCAAGGCGAGGCGAGGCGAGGCTCGAGTGCCTCGTGTGTGGACTAGGCAATGCGCTTCACTGAGGCACTACTTGGGCACTCGCCCGAACCCAAGCATTAGGCACTTCGGGCAAGTGCCCGGTTCAATCAAGCGAACTGAACCGATTTAAGTATGGTTCGGTTCGTAATTTCTTACCTAAAAAGCCACGCTTCACACCCACGCGACCTCGAGGAACCCAAGCGTTGCTTCTGCCTTCGCCGCCGATGCTTTCGACCGTTGCCTCTGCCACAAACGCAATGGACCAAGTCTTCCTCTGTTGTCGACGGACGAGTCCGACGACCCTCGTAGCTTTCTTTCGCTATCGCTTCCATTGTTGAGGGAGAGAACCGCAAGTTCCTCCATCGACGGATGCCCTCTGGAGCTTCCATCGTTACCACTGTTGCTGTCGGTAGCTTTAGCCGCTGTCACTGCTACTATCTGCAGCTTCCCTCGCTGTCGCTGCTATTGTCCGCAACTTTAGCCGCTTTCATTGCTATTGTCCACAACTTCCGCTACTATCGTTCGCAACGCTGCCGCAACTATCTTAAACTAATCCTCCACCATTGCTGCTATCTTCCTCTGTTACTGTTAATATTTTGTTCTCCCACCTCTAACTTTAATAAACTATTAACAATATATTTTAATTTAATATCATATTTTTATTTAAATAGTTATATTTTTAATTATATTATATGTTTTATATTTTAATATTTTAGAGAATATTTTTTTCCTCATGTAACTTAAGTAATATATTGTTAACAGTATATTTTTAATTTAATATCATATTTTTATTTAAATAATTATATTTTTAATTATATTATATTTTTTATATTTTAATATTTCAGAGTGCCTCGCTTCGCTCAGGTGAGTGCCTAATGCTTCAGGCATTTTAAGACCTTGGTGCCTTTTGATACCTAGCGCTTTTAAAACAACTGGACACTAGACACCAAAAGATGCTCAAGTGTCTTTTGAGAACACTGCTAGGGTGGAGAGATAATCTACTTGTCCTTGTTAATGATGTAGTGAAGTTTATATTTCATTGCCTACATGAGATGGATTAGTCTCCATAAGTATGTGTTGATACTATAATGGCATTCTGTACGATTAATTGATCAAGCTACCATGTTTTTCTTTTATAATGTATGTCCCAAAACCCTTCTGTCCTATTCTAGTGCCCATATGAATATTGACTTGGGTTAATCCAAGTACCATAAGACCCTATTTTTGTTTTCTGGTTATAAGCCAAATTAATCCATCTGCAAGCATAGCAGCACAAAGAAAGAAATAAGCCAAATTAAATATGACATCAAGATTAGTCACAGTTCACCTAATAATGTGGATTCAAAAAATATAACTAAAAACCAGATACATGCTTCAATATTTGAAGGAAGAATTTAGTGCCTCCTCATATGCCACAGAGTATCCATAAACACAATGGAGGCTTCTATAATGATAAGAAGTTTTGGTTGGACCAAAATTTAAAGTCAGTGAAACCAATATAAAGTGCCTACATAAAGGTCCCTTATGAGGACACAATATAACCCATAAGAATGAAAACAGTCTCTTTTAATATTTAAATATAAGGTTACGTACATTGATCCTCCCCAGACCTCGCATTGGCAAGAGCCTCGTGCAGTAGGTACGCCCTCTTTAATATATTCCATAAGAAAGACATGATATGAGTACAATTCAAAAAATAATAATAAATGCAAGCACCAAGCAAGTACATAATAGTAACGAGGATCACATCACAGCTGAAATCAAGATATCCACAGCAAGGTAATAAAGATCAAATGGAGAAATATATTTATAAGCAAGAGCCAAAGTGCCAAACTAACAAAATATGGAGGTGGTACCTTACAAACATGTACCATTGTGCCCAGGGCATGCATGACATGAACAATCCACACCATCATATGATGACCCTAGTGGGGCAATGACACATGACCATGCATGCTACTTTATGCCTTGCCACAACCATATAAGACAAAGAAACAGAAGTACTTGAAATACCTGAAATTGCAGAGTAGATGGATCATGCTGTTCTTTGATTTGTACATGACAAGTTGTTAAATTACTTAAACGACAATCTGCAACATCAAAATGCAAATTGATACAAGTTAAAATATTGTAAATAATTCTTACAGGACAAGTACCTAACTGGGAGGAATCAACAAGATGACACTTGAGAAAATAAGCATCTGAATGACAGGAAACTTAGGATAAAGAAAAACTGAGGGTGCATCCTAGGTACCTTTGGCATCATCACACATGTGAATGATTAAATAACCAGTAGATCAAATATTAAAAAATTGCCAAATTTATCTCCAGGATAGTGTTTCCATCGCAAATGGAGAAAATGTTCCTACTAAAAAAACAATCAATAAGTCTTGCTAAACTCATAATTAGAATGATTCAAAGATAAGATAGCACATATAGCACAATCAACCACTATCAGATATCCACAGGGAAAAAAAAGGAAAGCTAGATGACAGGCAAATGTGTGTTTAACGAACATGGGAACTGCAGCGAATATCCACCTAAGACCTATTCCTGATAATAGAATGGTGGGCCCAGAACTTCTCTTTAGTGTACAGAATTTACAAGTTGCTTCCTTTCCTTCCATCTCTAATAAGGGAAAAATAAGCACAGCCTTGCTTCACACCATTCCTCCATGCCTAAAACCACCATCTCCAGAATCTGTACCAGGATCTAAGCCACTTGGTGAGTCATACCACTTGGTATTGTCGGCATAAAAACCATCCACGTGCATCCCTACCAGACTTGAATCTGTCAAGGGTTTTATTAGTTTAGATTCCTCATCCTCACCACAAAGAATGCTCTTCTCATCAAAATCACTGCAGTGTTCTTTCAATATCCACTTATCAGGCTTCAAGCTATCCCTCATAAGCATCTTCCTATCCTGACAGTCTGCGGTCATCCTCTCCCATGGCACGATGGCTCCAAGATCTGAACCAAAATCTGGATCCTCCTCTTCAATCATCTCAGCCTCCTTACTAAATATCCTATCATGTCTATCAAGATGATGATCGTCGTTATTTCCCCATTGTGCGACCTCACCATCACCTACCAATGTTTCCTCTGAGTGATGCACTCCCCCACCCAACCTCCTCAATTTGAGCAAGATATCAGACAGTTCACGTGACAATGATCGCAGCATCTCTGGGCTCATTTTAGTAATTCTTCCTTCCAATATACCAACCTCGACCCTGAGTTCTTGGACCTGTTGCAGAACCATGTGATGTGAATCCCCTCTGTCATCCTTCCCCATAAGGCTAACAAATGACTCAGGCTCCATATCTTCCCTAACCCCATAAACCTCTGGATCGATATCAAAAGCCCCCTTGTTCCCAATTACTCGGTGGATGATCCTAGCATTCCCATCAAGCGGACCGGGCTCATGCCCAGAATGAACTGCATATAGCTTGAACATGGCAGTGCCCTCCTCCTGGTACACAAAAGTCTTGTCCTTTTCATTGTAGTTCATTATGGGCACAATCGCCCTTATGCGAAACCCACATCCACAACGCTTAGACTGGTAAGGTTCCCTCTTCAAAACCCTAGCTTTCTTAGCTGAAGCACTGGCAGACGTCGGCTCCCCAGCTCGGTGGCAAGCATAATCCTTCACTTCAGCCATGAAAGGCTTGTACCTAATGTATTTCTGGCGGATGCAAAGCGCTACCTTGTGCTTGGCAGCAAGCTGCTGAAGGTGTCGCTGCACATCCTTTGCAGGCACTTCAAAGGACTCAGTGTACTCAAAACGCCGCCTTTTGGACCGTGCCAGAGCACTGCTTCCACGAGATGTCAGAGAGGAGGCAGAGGAGCAGATCGGGCAGGAAGCCACGCAAACGCGGATGAACGACTCTGGGATACCGTAGAACTTGGCACCAACCGTCCAGGACTGCTTAATCCGGTCGACAGTCTCCTTCAACCCAAGATGCCGCAGCAGGTCGGGGTCGGCATGGGCAGTGGTGACGATCTCCTCCCACTGGTCCACATGCGAGACTCGCTGCGCTGAGTTGTTTTTGAACAAGAGCGCGGGCAGGACACCATCCATGTGGGCGTGGAGCTTGTCCTGGATGCGCTTCCACGCAGTGAGGTATGCCGTGTCCTCGTTGCGGTCCTTCCAGACAGAGCGCCATGACTTCAGCACGGATCGGGGCGTGGCGCAACGAATCTCCTCCGGGGTCGCGAGCCGGCCTTCGAGGATGCAGCGCACCATCAGGGCGTGCGATTGGCGGTTAAAAGTGTAAAATTGGGAGGAGACATGAGGGCTCGGGTCGATGCGGGGCGCCGCCGGAGGGACGTCAACGGCTGACGCTTCGCCGAAAGAACAATCTGGCGGAGCGGTGGCGGCAGTCGGAAGGGGCTTCCGGTCTTCGATTAGGGATTCCTCGGCGTCGATCTCGTCCTCGTCGGGTTCCTCATCCTCGTCATCATCGCGGAGGAGGAGGGATGAGAAGGGGGAGTGGGAGTGGGAGTGGGAGTGGACTAGGGTTTCGGGGGCCTGGGAGCTGGGGTCGTCGTCGTCGTCCATGAGCAGCGATTGGTGGTGGTGGTGGTGGTGGTGATGGTGATGGAAGGAGGAGTGAAGGAGATCGACCTCGTCATCGATGGCGGCCGCGGATGAAACGGGCGGCGGCAGGGGAGGAGGAGGATTGGGTGTTAGGGTTTGGTGGGGTAGGAGTTGAGATTTGATGATTTGGTTCATGGGAGTGATGGTGGGCGAGGGAGACGACGATGTCTTCGGCATCAAAGTCCCCTGACTTCGCCTCCTTTATCTGCTGCTTTTTCTTGGAAGCGTAGGGTTTCTTCTCGCGAGTCGAGAATCGATGGTCGCGAAGGGGACGGAGACGGCATTTATTTACTATTGCAGGGAAGGATTGGATTCGAAGGGTAGAGCGGGTCCCAAAGGGAGGAGTGCGCACTGCTGCGCAGTTCACCTCTGGGCCCCGCTTCCAGAGATGTGAAGGTAGTGACGCAGCGTATGTTCTCCCACGTAACGAATGATCTATAATCGCCTCTTTTAATCCTCCTCTCTTGCCCCCGGTCCGGCACGGCACCCATTTGGACGCGTGTAGTGGCGCTGCGTATGATTTCTAATGTGGCCAGGACGCACTCGTTATCAACGTCCTCCTTCCATCTGTCGGCACGAGAGACTGACCCACGGCCCGAGGAGTGTGCCATGAACAGCGCAGGTCCCGCACCCAGTGTGGTGGCGGGTAACGACGCCGCGTATCGTCCCACGTACCCGTTACACCTGAGATCAACACGTCTTACCTTCCCTCGTCGTCGGGTCGTCAGGGGAAAGAAGCCGACCCCGTAGTAAGGCCGCGTACCTTCCCGGCGTAGGTAATGAAACTGAGATCAACTCTCGGTACGCTTCTTTTCCTCTTCGCCTCCAAGGAGTGTTGTTGTGGTGGAAGCTTCCAGGAAACGAGACGGGAGCCCATCGGCGGCCTCATCTGATATGGTTTTATAGGGCAATCTATTCTCTAAAGGGGCATTTGATTCTTTGGAAAATCACAGATGAGATGCACGTGGAAGTCTAAAGTACATTACATTAATGTTCCTGATTTTGTTTATCACTTTTCCTGTTTGCTTTGTTGATTGCTACTATCTGCAATGTTGTGTATTTATCTATAAAACTCAGGCTAATTAAGATCAATTATAGCTCACAATTAACGTACCAAGATATTTGAAAGGAAAAGCTCCTTAATGTTCAAAATTCTACCAACTTCAAAAGGTACATCAAGTAGGAAAGAAGATATTGTTGACGGAGACCTCTTTATTCTATGAAATAAGAAGAAAGTTTCCCATTTATAACACATATAAACTCGAGAGAAGTTAAAAATACGTAAGACATGAATCATAAAATTCAAAGAGTGTGGATGGTAAGCCTTTTGAAGGTTAGCTTTAATCATAATATAAGGATTTTACTTTTAGAATCATGAGAAATCTCTTAAATAATAAGAATATTATTCTAAATCCCAAGAAGGTAAATTGTTCTTTGGAAATAATTCAAGAAAATAAAAAGTTTAAGTCTGTTGATAAGAACTTCATGAGAAATCTCTTAAATAATAAGAATATTATTCTAAATCCCATGGCCATGGATGAAGGTAACTTGTTCTTTGGAAATAATTCGAGAAATGAAAGTTGAAGTCTGTTGATAAGAAGTGAACTTCTGCTATCATCCTATAGTTAACATTACACAAGGATATAAGATGATAATAAGCAAGCAGGGTTAAGGCATTTGGGAATAAAAACGATATATGTCAAGATAATTTTTCAATATCCCTTATGAAACTTAATAATGTATCTATCTACATCAAGACTCTTACCATACCCCAAGGAATGTACTATATCTCAAACCTCCTGTGTTAGAACTCTTGTAGATTCTAAACTTGGGGTTGATCTTTTTAGGGGATCGACCTCCTTGGAACTCTATAGGGGTTCTTCCCTCCAAGTTGCTGCTCAAAGACTACAGAAAAGATTCATCTATTGCTTATGAAAAGAGAAGGAATACATGACTATTTATAGGGCTTCTAAACTCTAACTCATAATAGGACTCATCCTCAAGACTCATACTTCTAACCAACTCCTAATAGGACTCATACTCAAGACTCCTATTCCTTTACAACTCCTAATTCTTCTCTAAGAAACAACCTCCTAACCATAGCCGGCCTCTTCATCTCTTTAATAAGGGTCGGCTTAGGTACGTTTTACATGAATGTCTATCTCAATTAGGACCCTCCTAGCTAGAGTCTTAACAGACCTGCCCTCTTCAAATCAGCCTAGTCCTCGAGGCTGACGATTCATGAATTCTAGGAATTTGATCTTCAAGTCATCATAGTTCTCCCAAGTGACATCTTCTATTGGTAGGTTCGCCCACTATATTAGCACTTCAGTAGTGGGTCGTCGTCGTCGAGTCACGATCCATCGATCAATAATGGCACTTGGCTGGGTCTGGAGTTCTACTTGGGTAGTTATATTTGGTGGGTGACTTTGGGCTGTCTCCAAGCACCTATTTACAACTTTCGTTTGGCCATCGGTTTGTGGGTGATATGCCGTATTCTTTTTCAATTTAATACCCTGCATATGGAATAACTTTGTCCAAAATCTGCTTGTGAAGATGCAAGTAGAATTTATCATAAGCACAATGCGTCCCTTATAGTATAATTCTTTTGAGTCCCAATTGTAATGAGCCACGGAGCTTGGTGTTTCCTCTAATTTTTTTTTTATCTTACTAGTCTCTGAATCTTCCTACCATTCCATCTTAATATCCTCAAGGAAGTCGCTGGTCGGAAGTAAAACGACCGAAAATTCAGTTTGCTCGGGTAGCTGCGAAAGCACATCTACAACATCCTCTTTCCACTTTTTGTGAGTTATTTCATAATCAAATCTAAGAAATTTTGTTATCCATTTTTGCTCCTTAAGAGATGATATCTTTTGCTCCAAAAAGTACTTGAGGCTTTTATGGTCGGTTGTAATTTGAAATCATTGACTGATCAAGTAGGGTCTCCACCTCATTGCTGCGTGCACAATGGCGAGCATCTCCTTATCATATGTTGACATATTTTGATGGGAGGGAGATAATGCCTTGCTAGTGTATGTGAGTGGTCGACCATCTTGCATGAGAATGGCTCCAATTCAGATTCCAGATGTGTTAGCCTCAATAATAAAGGGTCGGTTGAAATCTAGTAGTCCTAGCACCGGCATCGTCGTCATGGCTGCCTTAAGTTTATCGAAGGCAGTGGAGGCTTTGTCCGACCATTGGAAGACATCTTTTTTCAGTAAGGAAGTAAGTGGTGCACTGATCTTTCCATAGTTTTTCATGAACTTACGGTAGTAGCCTATTAAACCCAGAAAGCAATGTAATAAAATTATGTTCCTCGAGGTCCGCCAGTTTTGCATTGCTCCAATTTTGAAGGGGTCCACTGCCACACCTTCCTCTGATATGATATGCCCAAGATATTCCACCTTCTGTTGAAGAAAGCAAAAATTCGTAGTGGTTGTTGTGTGTTCAAAAGGTGATTTTCGGTATGTCTTCTTCGCACACTCGTATTTGATGATACCCGGATCAAAGGTCCAGCTTTATGAAGATTTATGCTCCCTTTCATCTAGCAATTCATCTACTATTGGAATAGGATATTTATCCTTAACGGTTATACCCTTGAGAGCTTGGTAATCAATACACAATCGCCATGTTCCGTCCTTCT